CGGAAGACCTTAATAATAAGAAACAGTAGAATCACTATAAGGTCTTCCGTGAAGACGGAAGACCTTAAAAATCTTAAGTGCAAGGTACTTTATCACTGATTGAATGTTAATTAGGGCCTGCATGAAATGTTAAAGCTATATAGGATTCACATTGTCCATCCTTATGTCTTTCAGCCAGCAATTAACACTTCAGTTGTGACAAAATAAACAAGTTTTAATTTATGCAGTGTAATACTATACAGGGTATTGATGCATAAAGTAAATGAGATCATTAGAATGGTGTATTTATATACTGTATATACTTGATATCAACAATTTTTCTTAGTGGTCTACTTTATGCCCGATTATAAGTGGTCTCCTCAATGGCCATATTTAAGTATAACATATGTATAAGTACAGGTTGCTTTAGCAGACAAAGGTAAATATAAATATCTAAGTGCAAGGTACTTTATCACTGATTGAATGTAAATTAGGGCCTGCATGAAATGATAAAGCTCTATAGGATTCACATATTGTCGATCCATCTTTATGTCTTTCAGTCCAGCAACACTTCAGTTGTGATACAATAAATAAGTTTTAATTTGATATGCAGCATAATATAATACAGGGAATTGATGCATATAGTGAATAAGATCATTAGAATGGTATATTTATATACATTATATACTTGATATCAAGGGTTAATTCAATTTACTCAATTTTTCTCACTGGTCTACTTTATGCCTAATTATAAGTGGTCTCCTCAATGGCCATATTTAAGTATATAAGTACAGGTTACCATTGAAGACAAAAGGCATATGCAAAACTCTAAAGACCATGATACTTTGATACTGATTGAACGCTGACCTGGACCCTTGAAAAGCACTTGCTCTTAGTCTTATTTATATGACAATGTGTGGTTTGATATAAGTTAACTGAATTACCTAGGTAACCATGGTAACATATTTCTATCTGTTTTTGTATGTTTTTGCATGAGCAAGGGCTTGGGTCATGCATAAACTTTTCACATTTTTCAACTTCTTCTCAAGAACTACTGGACCAGTTTAAATCAAACTTGACACAAAGTACATGTATCTTTAAAATAAGGATGGCAATGATTAACTGGTTTATTAACTATTGAGAAAGATCATAACCAGTTGAAATTTTCATAACCAGTTTTATAACCAGTTACAATTTACATACTAACCACTTAGTAGATAATAAGTAGGGATGGCAATCGAATACAGAATTGCAAATCGGTTAACCACAAAACGTTCCGACCGATTAAACGGTTAATCGTATCAAACTACACAATGTCATTTTCTTGACTTTTTTCAAGTAGCTCTATTCCTATGCACAAGAAGTCTTAAAAAAAGATGTTAGAGGTCAAAATCATTCTATTTGTCTTTAGTCTTGATCATAAAACTACGCGCATATTTTTTTTCAATAGACAAGAAAAAATTCAGAAAACCATGAACCATGCCTGAAATATTGTGGATAATTTTCCAGAGCGGATGTCACACAAGTTCATTCTTCATTATCACCATAATCAAAACTAAGTCTAAAATGTATCACTTAATTTACAATGTTTGTATTATAATTTAATGTGATAGATAACTGCAAAAGATACACATACCAATTTACGGTGCTCAACGGTGATTATTATCATTAAAGAATTAGAGGACAGTCGGGTTAACAACATGATGTTTTAACAGTAATTAACATATCTCAGACTGACCAATTACCCAGCAATTTTAATCTGGAGAGCCATAATGACCTCCCAATCAGCCTAAATAAATAAATGAAAAATTAATGCTAAATTAAACGTTTAGGTAGGAATTTCTATTTTGAAAATGAATTTTAGTACATTGCTTTCAGTTTTACATATATTATAATTTTTTTCCGACTAATCGATTGCAGATTTTCTAACCGATTGCCATCGTTCCGACCGAGTAATCGGTTAACCGGTTAGAAATTGCCATCCCTAGTAGATAGCTTTTGTCAATGAGTATTTGTATTTACTTTTTCAATAATATTTTCATTTTTTGAAATAAAACTTGTAACATGTTTCAAACTGAAATGTGACAATCAAGCAGTTACCATATCTTGCCGAATATAATATGCATTGGTTTAAGTATGCACCCCCTTTTTCAGCCTGATAACTTGGGGAAAATTGCAGCTCGGTTGTAAAGATTATTTGCTACAAAATCTTATTTCCTACAGGGCACAAGTTATTTAAACATTAAGATATTAACAGACTTGAAATTTCTTTGACAATAACTTAAAGATAAGTCACTTGACAACTTTGATATGTTGTAATCAACACACACCCAAAGCTTAAAAAAATGAAGAACGAAGGTTATAAATCGACCTCTCAAATATGAAACAGGGCTCTCAATTGTGTATAATTGGGGCCGTTCAAGGGCCCCACTCCCAATTCAAAAAAGGTACCTTTTTTCCCAATTAATGTGTTAATTTTCCCAAAAGTCATTTCTCCCAAAAATTAAAGAAAATATAGCTGGATATATACCGGTAATAACTTAACTTGCTATTCATATTCCTCTGTTTTATAAAACAAATTTAGTTGATAGCGAAGACTGGAAACCCAATATATATGATTTTAAAGTATGTATAATGGTTATTCCAAAATTTCCTAAAAGGTCTTTATTTTCCCAATCTTTACAGCCCGGCCCCATTCCCAAAAAGAAGTGTTAGAGCCCTGTGAAAATGAAAACAATTATATGTACAGCAAATAAGAAGTGCCCTATCTTGTAAAAAATGTGATTGGAATAGATAGACCTGTGATTTCTTTATCCAGGTGAATATCATTACCGCTACATTTTCAAAATGGTAATTATTTACCGCTATATACTCATTACCACTGCAAAAAATGTACACATTACCACTACATTTAAATGTTTACATTACGAATACATTGCCTCTTTCATTAGCCAATGGATTATGCATGTACAGATTGACACAAAGTACATGTACAACATATCCAAGCATAAGACCTTTTTCCACTGCTCACCATGGGAGACGAAAGTAGGGCTTAACAGGGTGGCTTTTTCCCACTTTTTTATTAGTCCCCTACCAGTGAAACCAGAGGGAATTATAGGTTTCCTCTGAGTCTGTCCATCTGTCTGTCTGTCCCTCTTTCAGTCTGTCTCATTTGTTTTCCGCACTTTTTTCTAAACGCTTGCAGATTTGGAGCTGAGTTTTGGTATGTATTATCTTGATGAGTTACAGTTCAAGTTTGCATTTTGTTATGCTTCTGAATCAATGATTTTTAATGGAATAGTGGCAATTCAATTTTTAGTGGGAACCAGATTACACTTGCTGGTAGGGGACTAGTATTTCTAATGCAATACTGTCAGAATGCTTGTTTAATCTTAATTGTAGTAGGTATTTAAGTATGCAAGTACAGGGGTGTCGGCAAGTATTTGACATTGGGGAGGCGAAGTGGATCGAAAAAAGCTGGGGGTGGGGGTCCTAACTAAATTGTTGTGACTTAAACTACTTAAATTTTCAGCCAAAATCTTGATATTTTTCCTATTAAGTCAATAGCCTAAAGGTATTTTCTGATTCAAAAAGAACAATTATTAAACATACAAAATAAATAAATAAAAATGTTTTATTTGTTTTTATTCACATTTCTTGTCATAAATATATACATATAAAAGCTGTAAGTTCATAAGAGAATCTCAGGCCAAATATACTTAATAACGAAATATTGTTAATTCCAGACCTATAAGGACCTCAGTTTTAAGTTACTATAAATGAAACAAAACCGGAAAATTCTTAAAAAGGATTTTTTCCCCCTCGAAATGGCAATTTCTCCGAAACTTAAGCGCGACGGTCACCTTAAACATAGGCTTTATGAAGAGATAAAGATATTTTTCTATTACTATATAATATTTGTTTCTTGCCGAAAGAATGCAATTTGAAATGAACAGGCTGATTAATACCTCTTAACCCCTTCTATTTTTGAAATGCAGAAATACATGTATGTATGACATTATAGAAAAATCAAGTGAAGTTGTTTTAAATAATAATTTTGCCCAGTATTTTAGTATTTTCCTTTAATTCATACGCTCATACTTTGTAATATTATTTGATAATTGTTTAGTGATTCATCAAAGATTTCCAAACATCGATCGACCAATTGACATGATTGATTCTAATAGACAATGAACATGCCTGTTATACGTGGGGGAAGGGGGAATAGGGGGAGTGCCTCCACTTTTTTTCTACTTTCAACACTTTTTTTTCTGAGAATAGTTTTTTTGCTTAAAAAAGACTCCCACCCCCTTCGACACACACTGTTTGTTGCTGTAAGGTCGAACTCAGGCAGATTCCCGTTTTTGAAAAGAACAAAAAATAAGGAAATAAAGAGAACCCCCATCTCCGCCCCGAAGAAATAGAATTTCTCAAAACATTGCTATAGCTGTAGGTCTGATGAAGAATTTGTAGCAAACCAGCACGTGGAGCGATGGATACCCTGCCTATTGTTTACACGCGCCAGGTATAGGTATATGTACTTGCGTCTTCGTAAACAATAGCTTTCACACTCTGCCGCTCCAATGACCACAGATTGCCATTATTCTTGCCGCTCCATTGACTACAGATATTGCCGTTACAAATGTTGAAATTCTATATTTTTCATTTATTTTTATTTTTATTTTTTTTTTTTTTTTTCAAAATTATTGGGGCGGCGATCGCCGCCCCTTTGCCGTAGCCCTTGAAGTACAATAATGTACATATAAATGCTTGTTCAAAATAAAGTTTTTCTCGTAATTTCAGCGCAATTCAACAGAAACCAAAAATTCAAGAACCTATTCGTAATTAATCTGATGTTTTTTTAAATAGATTGATCGAAAGTACATGCAATATAATTCGTACTATATAAAGGTACAGTGTTTAATTGATTTGTTACAAAAAAGAGCAATGACCATATCACCAATGCTAATGTAGTGGTAAATATTTTTAATATTTAATAAGTTCCACATTTTTTTTTACAGTGAAATGGTAAAAAAGAAACTGCTAGCGCTACTGTGCAGACTACCATCAATCAACATGATCAACAAAATGAAGTAATCCTTCTGAGTAAGTGACCTGTAGTATTATCTGTTTTCACCTAGGCCAATATGAAAAGGATGAAAGTTATTATACTCAATACACAAGTTTGGAGATTATATCTCTCCAACAAGAGAAACACAAAAAGTAGCCATATCAGCGTGAAAGTGGCAGAGATTGTTGATAAAGTATACACAATCATGCATAAATAAATGTCAGAATGATGGCTTAATTAGGGCCTTTTAAAATGTATTTAATATTAAAGAAAGATTATACATGCATATTATGTCAAGCAATGATGATTTTGGTGATCATATTGAGCTATACTTTAGTAATACAGGTTTTTGGATGCTTGAGTCTCTGATTAACAATATATATGTAGTTTTTGGAGACCAGGTCTTCCAATAATCTGTCAGAATTCCCATGGGTACCAATTGCAACCTGTTATTAGGCTAGCAGACCTCTTTTTATATTCATATGAAGCAGAATTTATTCAAAATCTTACACATGAGAAGAAGAAAACACTTGCTGTGGTCTTGAACTCGACAGTGAGATATATCGATGATGCATTATCAATTAACAATAGCTATTTCCATTCATATGTCAACTCTATATATACCCCAGTGAGCTTGAAATAAAAGATACCACAGAGTCTGACACATCTGTTTCATGTTTGGATATTATTTATTTCCATCCCTAATTAAAATTTTATAAATTGATTATGTACATGTAATATTAAGTGCATGTTTCTTGGAAAGTAATGTTCTAAGTGTTTCCTTACTGCTCTTAAGGATTTTCATGGTATATCAGATTCTTGTTTATTATCCTTTTCTAAGTGTTACTTTTCTCTAAGCAGTAAACAGGCAGTTGTATGATAGGTGGAGACACATATCAAGTTACCTACAGTTACAGCCAAGGTTTGATGAAGGTGGCAGAATCATCTGGAGTTTGCCAGCAGGAGTGACCAGTCAGCAGTGGATACTCACTCCTCTGTGGCACCTGATCCCACCTCGGATGTTTTTGAGGTAGAGGTTGCACTGCTCAAATTATAATTTGAATGGACTTTTGAGCTTAAATACTGTTCATTGTCTCCATATTTCGTTTTATAAAATCTAGTTTTAATTAGGATGATTGAAAACAAATGAATCATCAATCCCTTTGAGAGAAGACACTTCCTAGATTGTACAAATTTATTCTAAAAAAAATAGTGGAATCTTTAAAATTATTACGAGGGGAAAGAGTCAGTGTTTCATTTAGAATCCTGACGTGCAGTGATCAGATGCCTATATATTAGAGATCCATTTTTCTTTCTTCGTATTATTATAAGATTTTTCCAGTGTGTTTTTTTCCCTGATATTTTTGGTATTTATTATTTAAATTTTGAGCTGATTAGTGTATCCAAATAAACAGTTATAGACCAGTATATTGAACATGTCCTACTAGCAGGTTTATGAAATATATGGAAATAACAAACAGTATTAAAGCTCGAAAGTTCGTTCAAACAATACAATTCAGGAGCAGAACAATAGGGACCTCTAAAACATCAGAGGTGGGATCAGGTACCATGGAGGAGTGACCATCCTCTGCTGACCGGTCACACCCGCCATGTGCTTCCTGGCATGATCCGGGAAAAATTAGAAAAATCCGTAGGCAATTCAGTGTGTAAATAATGGCCTGAAAATTAGATTTAAAATGTCAATCAGCACTTGACTTAATGATAGATTGTACTTTCTGACAAGCAACAAGGTCATTGTATCGACCATATAACTTTTGTAATGATGACTTTAAACAAGACTGATGATATTCTTGTTTCATCAACTTGTTTGTCAGTAACTTACTTGGTTTTAGAAATTGTTCATGGGTTGAGCATGCTCTTGCGTATCGAATCAACAGAGAGATATGAACCCTGTATGCAGGTGATGAGGGTATATTGCTGCATAAGTAAGGGAAGTTGATGATTGAAAAGTTAGTCATAAAGGTTTGTTGTTAGGTTACCATTAACCTCTTTTTATAGTAAATTATCAAAATATGAAACAGATGTGTCGGACTCCAGGGATAGACATTAACTTTCATATTCACTTGTCCTTTGGGACAACAAATTTTGACTTGTCCAAATGCAAAACTTGGTTGCCCAAACCTTAGAAAGAAGAAAATTCGAGTAATTTAATTTATTTGCAATAAAGTACTTTCTATTGGCAAGTTAACTGCCAGAAAAAATGTTGATGTGTCAGTTATCCTACAATTGTAAATTATGTACATGTATACCACTGTCCTTTCATTTGTCCTGAAAACTTGCACTGCCATGCAGCAGTATATATTTTCTTTAAAATAAAATTCATATTTTAAATATATATATATATATATATTATTTTGATTTTTTTTCTCTGGAAAACTGAGTCCACACTGTCATTTTAATCGGACAAGTACATTGGCATTTTCACTTGCCTTAACTGGGAATTTACTTGCCCCGGGCAATCGGACAACAGTTAATGTCGATCCCTGGACTCTGTGGTATCTTTAAATTATCAAGCTCATTGGGATAATTGTGTTGAAATATGAATGGAAATAATTAATACCGTAAAGTCACATGTATCGGACACACTTTTTTTCAGAAAAATTGTTCAAAAGTGTGGATGTGTGCATTACATAGGAACTAAATTCAACCCCTTTTTCTGGACATTTTTTCTTAACTCTTATGAGTGATTTTCACTGTTATCACATTGTAAGTTTATTACATATTCCCCAATTCTTGAATGATAGTCACATATGACAGATCGCTGGTAAATAAATCAACAAACAGAAATATAAAAAGATATATCCATTAAAATGATACTATTCAAAATTAAATATATATATATGTATATTTAAAATAAATTATCTTTTTCTAACTTGGATATCATCACTGCCAAATTTAACTCCTCTCGACCCTAATGTAGGTCATATTTGTTTATATAACGATTTCCGGCCATTTGGTTTCGAAACAACTGCCATTTTAAACAATACACTTGTAACCGGTAAAGTTTATTTAATGATAAATATTTTACACACCTTTTTAATTACCTGGTATCACTTGTATACATAAGTGTGACATTAATTACGCTTGGGATGATTTGTTTACGTAAACACAGACACCTGCTTGGAATGCATTTTCAGCACAATATCGTAAAATGCTTAGGGTTATAGGGGGAAAAAAATAAGGGACTTAATTTTTAATTTATACCAATCAAATAACAATTGAAATACAGAGTATACTTAAATACTTATAAATAAAGCTTATATGTGAACTGAATTTTCCAAGAAAATTAAAAGTTGTATCCTACTTTCGTTTTTGAAATAATACGAATATTTTAACTTTTTAAACTTTTTCTTTGGAATAGTTGTGCTGTGAAAATAAGAGATATGTCCGCATTTTTGGGGTAGCGTTTTATCCATAGGAACTGCATTTTTCTCAGGATTTTCCCCCCAAATTTGGGGGTGTGTCTATTACAAGACTACGCCTTTACACGTGACAATAGGGTACTTCGTCAATATATCTAAATGTTAAAGGCAACAGCATGTATTTTCTTCTTCTCGTGTATAAGATTTTAAATAAATTCTGCTTTGTATGAATACAAAAATAGGTTTGATAATAACGGAGCACAATTGGTACCTATGGAAATTCCAAGAGATTTTTGGAAGACCTTGTCTCTAAAAACCACATAGATATTGTCAATCAGAAACTCAAGAATCTTTTTAATATCAACTTCAGAGTACTTGTGTGTACAATCAGTGTTTTTTACAAATAATTTTGCAAATGACCAATGACAAGATAAGTTAATTTTTGAGTTCCACTTTTAATGAAAAAGCAGCTGTCAGTAAACAAATCTCTCATCCATACAAAAAACAAAAAAGCATACCAAGGGTGATAATCTCAAAACTTAAGCATTGATCTGTTCGAAATATTTTTTTTTTATTGACATATGTTTAAGGATAAACAACAATACTTGATATCGCGATTACTTAAATTAGCTGAACTCTTTCACGGAGATGGGAAACGTCTGTTGGATGGGGGCAGTGTACTATTGAATGCAATACATGATCGATCATTGTGGAATTTATAATGACTGATAAGAAAGAAATCCTAGAGAAATATCTTGCTAAACATGCGCTGAACCAGCCTTATAAATTTTTGAGAGGAGTTAGTCCTATATGTTACATTTTTTACATACTTTTTACTAAGCGGACTTTTCTTATTAAATTCTAAATGAAAATCGTTACTTTTGAAAGTTGATAAAATACTCTAAACTTTCCTTATTTGACAATCTACTATTTGGAGTTCAACTCTTGGCAATACATTGTAGTTTCAGCATAATGATTGTTCGAATCATTCCATTGTCACCACTGTAATGTTATGCCCCAGAAATCTTGTGAGATTTAGAGCTTCCTCGACTCCCATGCTAAAGAGCGGTTGTAAGTTAGATAACTGCGAGATACTCACAATACTTGCAAATACTGGTACTGTTAATTCAATTCACATGTGCTCACTTTTGAAATGCATTCACAATTCTTTATAAAGTTGGTGATGTTATGTATGAAAATATCATAAAGTCTAGTTTCATGTTTAAACTATGCTTGTGGTATGCATTTTTTTCTTGAACAGTAAAGGAAGGGATGAGAGAGTTCATTGAGTGCCATAAACTTTCATTTGTATGTTATTTTTTAGAGATGGAGTAGTACACAAGCACAATTTTTTAAAGAAAGAAAAGTCAATGGAATGAAAGCCAAAGAAAAGGTGAAGTGAATTGTCACTCATTATATTTTAAATTTAATGTGAACATGGTCATTATTTTAGTTATGTCATAACCTTCTTATCAATTTTAAGCAGTGCAGACAGATGCATTTCTTATTGCTTTGAATAGAATAAATTATCAAAAAAGTTTGTATATGTTTTTTGATATAGAATTTAAATTAAAAAAAAAAAAACAAATTATCAATTATTGCAGTTTTGAATTTCAGTACACTAGAAATTTTTCTACCCTGCCATGAATATGGCTGGGGCATATAGAGTTTATCATGTCCGTCTTCCGTCCTTCCAACCTTCTGTCTGTCCTTCCATTCCGCTTTGCTTTTAGCTCAGTTCAAAACTAAGTTTCAAAGAAACTATTCAAGATATTTTTATCAATCTTCATATGCTGATACATATTGATGAGAGGTATTCAATTTCATCAACATTTTTTTACCTTGACCGTTCCTTTAACTTTGACCTCACTTTTCTTAAATAAGTGTTTAGCTCAGTTTTAAAGAAACCATTCAAGATAGTGTAATCAAACTTCATATGCTGATACATACTGAATCAACATTTTTTTACCTTGACCTTTCCTTTGACCTTGACCGTACTTATCTTAAATAAGTGTTTAGCTCAGTTTTAAAGAAACCATTCAGGATAGCGTAATCAAACTTCGTTTGCTGATACATACTGATGAGAGCTATTTAACTACATCAACATTTTTTGATCTTGATCTTTCCTTTGACCTTCACCTCACTTTTCCTAAATTAGTGTCAAACTTCATATGCTGATACAGACTGATGTAAAGTATTCGACTGTATCAACATTTTTGACCTTGACATTTCATTTGACCTTGACTTCATTTTTCTTGAAATAGTGATTAGCTCAGTGTTAAATAAACGGTTTCCATTCAAAATATTTTTATCAAACTTATTTTGCTTATGCGTATTAGTGAGAACTATTCAACTGCATCAAAAATGTATGACCTTGAACTTTCCTGTGACCTGGACCTCATTTTACTTAAATTTGCATTTTGCTTAGTTTTAAAGAAACCATTAAAGATAATTTTATGTGAGCTTATGCACTTAACAGAATTTGGTGAGAATTTATCATCTATATCCAACTTTTTCGATTTCAATGTTAAAGAAACTATTTTAAGATATTCTCATCAAATTTCATACACAAATATGCCCACATGGTGCAGTGGTTAAAGCTCTAGAGTTGCGGAGTAAGTAGTTGATTTTTATGTCGCTTGTTCGAATCCCACTGTGGGACGTGGAGACCGTATAAACCGAGGTCCCATGTCACAGTAGGTGCTGGCACGAAAAAGATCCCTCACTGCTTAATGGCCCTTAGTGCCGAGTATAGGTCAAAATTTGCAGCTCTCCACCGGCAAGTGGTGGCGTCTCCATATGAGTGAAAAATTCTCGAGAGGGATGTTAAACAATAAACAAGCAAATAAAAATTAATATACCCTCAGCGGGGCATTCATGTCCTATGGACATATTTCTAGTTTTGCCCTCTTTTACATTTGTACATAGATATACTTTTTATTTTTGCTCTGTAAACAACAACAAAAACATTATACCATATGATATGCACAAAATTATATGCTAGGAATGTATTGTGAAAGATGCATTTCAGCTGACAAATGTAGCATCTTTAAGCCAGCTTTTTAATTTTTTTTTCTGAATGACTTTCAGGTACTTCTCTTATATTTGCAACTCATTTATAGGGATGTATTAGTATGGTAGCCTGTCTGCCAACACCTTGTAGATGAGATTCTAGCACAAATGGTGTGAAATGGTTCTCTTAATTGACATGAGAAGGTCACCATTTTTTATCAAGATAAAAATTACTTGTATATCTTGTAATAACATTATTTAATATATCCCTTTCATAGCACACGTTTCTTTCAAAGAGAAGAAAGCATTTATATTTTTTCATGGTTAGTAATCTCATGGATGAAATGCAAACTGTACTATTTGAAATAGGTGGTATAGGTATTTCAGAGTCTGTATTACAGCTTGCCAGTTTATTGTTGGAGGGAATATTCTCATCAAATAAACTATGTAAAGATTTGCTTTTTAATGCAAAGTATTTTTATAAGTAATAACTTCATTTCAACTTACCATGAACAGTTTATCAATGCATCTCACTTTGTATCTAATGCATTTTTAGAACACACATTTGTGGTTTAAAACATGTTGTAATAGTTTAATAATGCTATTCATTTTTTTTAATTGACAAGAAATGAAAATGTAATGATTATTTCAAAATAGTGTTTTATTCCTCTTATCTATATGTATATTTATAGATATGTAAAAGATTGTTATTTTTATTGATGTTATGTTTGTGTACAAAATGCTAGTTATTAATTACTTTATACAAAACTAATGTTGTGAAGCATATATTGAACAGTATACAAATGTCACCAATGTAATACACATTTACAAATAAAATGAAATTTTACATGACTTGCACATATTTGCGTTATTTGTTACAGTTATAACAAATCTAATTCATTGTATTTATGGTTTCCAATTTTTATTGTCTATTCAAACATGGAAAAATTATATGTGTAATGATGTTAAAGACACAAGAATATGAATTAAAATAAGACTGTATGAACTACCTTTAGATTTATGAATTCAGTAGACAGTGACTGTGACAAATGTGTATTTAGGATAGAGATCTTAGACGTGAGAAGAAAAGGGGTTGTTTTACAAACTTTTTTTTGCATGGGGAAATATTGACATTTTTATACAACAACAAATGAAGTTACTGGAATTGTGAAGTCTACGTGTCTTCTGTGAGTAGACATCTTTTGAAACAAAGGTAGCTTGTGGCCAGAAATATTCTTGACCCAGTAGTAACGGTCTTTTGCACAAGGTCATAGTCACTGTATATCAAAGTATTAAATACTTACCAATAATTGTTTGTAACCTCAGAGTATGGTCCTAACACAGGTTAATACAGGTCAAGGCCATAGGGTTTAGAAATGTAATAAATATTCAGATAAACACATAATTCTGTTTGTTTATTTGTTTGTTATACATCCTTTAAGAATTTTTCAGTAGTATTGAGACACCACAACTTGCTGGTTGAGGGCTGCAAATTTAGACCTGTACTTTTGAGCAGTGAGAGGTCTTTTCTTGTCCCAGCATATACTGCAACAAGGGAATTTGGTTTCATTGGAAGAACCGGTCTCCACGTCCTTCAGTGGGATTTGTACCTATGACTTAAGGAACAAGTCCTTACTCCACTACTCTAGAGCAAATGCTCTGACCACTGCGCCAAGCGGGCAATCACATTATTGTTATACTCGATGTTAATCAAGGCAAAGGGATAATTGTGACTTGGGGATGTATAACAACCCTGCATCAAGTTCAATTTTTGTCCACTATAAAATAACTTTCAAAGATTATATTATCCTAGGGTTCATTATGCTCAGAGTATATGACATAAACTGGATATATAAAATTCTAAAATACATTTTTTATAAAGAAAAGTACAAGGTTATAGTTTCAATAGGTCATATCTAGCATGTACAGGTGATTGTGGCTTAGATGATGATTCTATACCATAAGTCATCATGTGAGTACGAAGTTTTAAATCAATGTGTTTCTTTGGTGGTGGATGAAATATTTTCTTAACGTAACAATTACTATCGGTCATTTACTATATTTCCATAAGATTCAGGACATGAAAATTTGTCTACGAATAGACATCACCCCATTAGTTCCTTCTAGTTAAAATAAGGAATCATCATACTGGGTTTTAAAGTGCCTAATATTTTACTTAAGATAAATGCAAATTGACCAATAAATACTGGTATGAGAAGTACATTTATGCATGTGTAGTTTTTTATTTAAATAATTAGAAAAAAGAAAATGGTCTACATAATCATGTATATATATATATTATGGTCCCCTTTATGCATTATATATACTTGGTCTACTTTAACCCTTCGGGATCCTCATAAAATATATACATGTCTACCTAAAACCTCCAATGTATTTACAAAATATTAAGGAGACCAGAAATGTCGTATATTTTTCAGGAAGCAACATTTAGGGCTGAGGGGGTAAAATTTTCATTTTTGAAGCCTATTAGAATAAATTTGGGTGAAAGTGTGAATCAAAATGTCTCAAATAAAAGAAATGAAAAATGTCTACTTAATGCCTCAAAATAAGTGCGGTCTACTTTATGCCAAAGTCCACCTTATATATATATATATATATATATATATGGTTGTGCCATTTAGGAGACCGCTCATATTTATATATTGGCATTAAGTAGCCTCGTAGAATAAGTGGACCAAAACCGGTCGCCTTAACATTTTGACCCTCTCTGAACAGAAAATTAATGACTTTTTAATATTAAATTGACAATAGTTAATTTTAGTTTAGTATATTTTTGTCCCTTAAATACAAAAAATATGCCAAAATTTTATGATTACAGAAATTTTTAAATTTAAATTTCAAGCAACGTATATATTGGTATTATTATATATCGTCATTATGTAGACCAGCTAAAACTTGCAAAATTAAATAGGATCTGCTATATATGTCTTATTTCTCCTAGTATTTAGTTTTAGATATTGTTCTCCCACTAATTTTGGGTATGTACAATTTGCTAAATAGAATAAAACTTTTTACGAGAAAATGAGCTTTAGAGTTTCGTGTTCATCAACTTCAAGGTTTTCGTGCGCAATGCCTTCCGAAAATTTTCGGAAATCCTCGGTATCCTTTACGACCTTCGGAGAAATAGGAGTCAGACAAAATTTTGGTAAGTAATAACAAATTATGATTTTTTAAAAATACTTATTCATGATAGATTGACTATATATTATGCACCCAATATCTTGCGGTTAACGTCTGCTATTTATTCATTGATAAAGACTTACGTATACTTATTAGCATGGAGGAAATTCGAATTGTAGTTTACCAACAGCGTGGTTTCAACAGATCGTTTGTTTGTTTTGAACATATTTTATTGACATAAGCAAATGGATCGGAAACAAGTTCTTACAACTTACTTGTTCCTAACAATTGATTACATGTACTTGAACAAAATAATTGTAATCTCTGATTGCGTGGGCTGACTAAATATATACTGAATAGCATAATATTAGGCTGGTGGTATCGTTCTTGCGGAGATAAATTAAATATTCGATAAGTTACCTGAAATACTAACTCTAATTTCCTATTATATGTGGGGTAGGGTTGGGTTGGAAATAGGAGTAAGGTGTTTCTAGGTTCAAACTTTTTTCACAGCCTAATCCAACCAGCCTTTCCTGAACAATTTTAATAGTAAAAGATTAACTGGGGGAGGGGAGGAGCCCCCCCCCCCCCCTCCAACCACGATACCACATCTCTGATGTCTATGGCAGCGGATACATACATGCATATATGTACATACAAATTTATGTATCTGACAGCATCCCCCTTAGATTTCTTGTACATAAAACATAAAGTTGGTTTGGACAAGCCCAATATAGCAACAATTTTGAAATATCTTCAAAGATAAAGAGGAATTAAGGGCTACAAACTGCTAAAAAATTCAAAGGGACCCGATTAATATTTTTGATCGGGTTAGAAGTGGGGTTTGGGTGCAGGATGTGTGGAAATATTTTGTGTATATTCCATATAGGCAAAAAGGCTGTAGGCTACACATCATTTTTTTTTTAAGGATAGAAATTTGGTTGAAAAGGGGGGAGAAAAGTTGATGATAAATGTTATCTATTAATTTCATTTTGTTGCAAATGCCAAAAAAAGAAGCATTTTTGACAATGCGCATTTTTGTACCCATACTTACAGTCTAACTTTCTGTTTAATGACAAAAATATTCCTATAACTGGAAATAAAAATTAAGCCAAAATTCAAGTATTATATTAGGTCTGCATCAGCCTCCTTGCTTACCCATTATTTGCGCCTCAAGTTAAATCTGTGACATCACACTAGCCGACACATTACATGTAGTAGAAAGTAATAATATTATTATACGCCAATGATATTCTAAACAATCTATTACACTGTACCTTTTGGCATGAATGGAGGATTAATTAACAGGTTATATCAGAGATGAGCATATCAGTTAATAGTTATATGTATTACACTTTCCATGATTGAGTAACAAAAGATATACTGTATAATTCTTGCAATATTTTT